GTGTACAAATTTTTCTTGTGGCTAAATGATACTTCATTGTGAGATACATGTGTGTGTATGACATGTCAAAATATAATGACATATATCATTATGCATGTAACATATTTTGACCATTTTCATCCCACTTTACCCCCCTTGTCCTTTCCTCCATCCTACTTCTGAATTTTGAGGAGGTTCAGTGTGTATATTTTTCCTTCCATATTACTTCCCCTTGCTACAAACATATTTATCCCATAATTTTTGCCACTTTCTGAAATAATTCTGAAAGTCCTCTTTCACATCTGTATGATGTGTGATCAGATGTTCTGGTGAATGCCTCTACTGAGTTTCATTCAATGGCAAGTGTATTCATATAAGCGATACAGAGTATCCTCATCTGCCTTACTCATTAGCTATGGCACTGTGTGACTCCTGGCTCTTCCACAAAATAAAATAACCATGAAAGGTGAACATTTTGAATTGATTGAGGACATCAAGGCAGCCACAACAGTGCAACTGAAGACACTTGAAAAGAGCACTTCCAGAACTGCTTCAGAAAATGGGACAGGTATTTGATGTGAAGGAGGATATTTTAAAAGGGATGTAGTTTGTCTTTTATTAAAATTCTTTTTTGAAAGAAATTTAAACATTCACTGTAATTTTCGGTCATGCTCTGTTTTAGGGCTCTGTATGTGGTATTTTGTCTTTCTGAATCTATCTTATTTTGCTTAACCTGATAGTGTTCAGATCCATCCATTTTCTTCTTGCAGATGGCAGTTTTGTTCTTGTGGCTAAATAATATTTTATGTGAGATACGTGTGTGTGTGTGTGTGTGTGTGTGTGTATGATATATCAAAATATAATGACATATATCATATTTTATTTATCTAGTCATATGTTGATGGGCACCTGGACTAGTTCCATGTCTTGCTTATTATGAATTATGCCACATTAAACGTGGGTATGTGAGTATCTCTATAGTGTGCTGAGTTTTCTTTTAATTGCTTTGGAGATATACCAAGGAGTGGGATAACTGGACCAAAAGGTAG